GACGTTCATACTATTGCCGTACAACACAGAGTGAGTTTTTATTGTCGTTCGAACAAATTTCATTCCCATACATATAACATGTACATTCTGATATTTATCTCATCTCACGCATATTCCAGATTCCACTGGGTCCTGTTCTTTTTCGACTTGGACGCATGCAGAGTCACTGTGTACGACTCAATGAATAAAGAGGAGAAGGTTTTTGACAAGGTCTTCCAACTGATAGACAGGTAATATAATGCCATCTATTTCAAAGTCGCGGGACTCTGTTGCTATTATGTTGATCTCGGGTAATATTTAATTAATCATAGCTTGCAACTGCACATGTAGGGCTTGGGATCGGTTCCGTCAGTTGGTCCGCGGGACTTGGAAAGCAAAACTTGGACGGAGGTTTCATTTTCCAGGGAGTACATGCATGATCCAAAATTATATTGAATTGAATCTCTAGTTACAGTTAATATAAAGAGTATATTAAATCTCTCATCGTTTCTCATGTAGTGTGCAAAGCAGGTCAAGGGAACTAACTTATGCGGCTACTACGTATGCGAGTATGCCCACTGTTGAGATTATGGGCATATAATGATTTAATTTATTCCATAAATAAGTCATGACATTACAGATGAAAACTAGCATGAACGCATCATTAGATCTACACATGTAAACTACGCAGAATAACATGAACAGATCAAATATGCGCAACATATTGAACACGTACCGAGGTGACGAAAAGACCGGCTGCTTGGTCGAAACTTTTCGCAGGTGTCTACGAAGGCACGAAACACGCGAGCGAAGAGGAAGGCGAGCCGTCGCGAACGAACAGGGAGCAGTCGCGCGAAGCGCTTCCCAAAAACCTTATTGCCGCCTTCTCCCGGTGCAGGACGTCAAAGGCAGAGGTTCCGGAGACCTGCTCTCCCGATCGCTGGTGCACGCCGGCGAGCGGGATGGAGTAGTCTACGAGCGACGGCGCAGTACAGAGTAGGAGGCAAACCCTAGATTGATTTTCGCATTTATCGCGTGAAGACGGCGGGTCGGTTTATATAGAGAAAGGTCGCTTGATCAGGGCGCCCGCACGATCTCTACTGCGCGTAACCGAACCGGATAAGTCGCGCGTAACTTATCCGGACTCCACGCCGTTTGCACGCATCGGATTTTTCGGAACGTTTCCAAAACAAAAACGAATCCGAATTTGCAGCAAAACAAAACTGCAAAAAGAGGCTGCATCTGCGCAAGGGTGAGGAGCCAATTTTTCGGACCATTCGACGCGTACGTCGTGCACGCGCGCCGCCTGCCCTGCCCTGCCCTGCCCTGCCCTGCCCAGGCCAGGCCAGGCGAGGCGAGGCGAGCGAGCGCGCGCGTGTGTTTCCCCTCTTCTCTCCACCACACATGCTTCAAGTGGCTAGGAGGGCATCCTCCCTTTTAAGGAGGTCCCCCTCTCCTAGAATAAGCAAGGTGGTACTAAACTCCACATGCATGCCATCCCATGAGGTGGGCTTTTGTGATTTTCCAAAGAATTAATCTTCGAGTGGGCTAAGACCCATTCATTAATTCCAACAATCCCCCACCAAATCTCAAAATCCCACTGAGATTTGCCTTTTCCAATGTACTGTTTATATACCAGCGGTTCGATGGAGACCAATTAAGGTTGAACATCCACCTAGAACTCCAAGCTACACTTACTCACAACTTGAACAATGGACTACGCCTTGAATTGCAAGTCTTGTGCAAGCAAGTTTCACTCAAAGTCTTATCTGGTACTAGACCGTCTGTAGACTACCCCTCGGGTGGAGCGTATAAGTCATACTCCTAGGTCTTTAGTAAGCTTCCTAGAAGATTCACCCAAAATCTTCATGGACTGCGACCAACAGTCAAGCTCACAAAGGTGAGTTCCTTCAAGAATGCTCTGCAGGACAACATCTTTGCTAATTAAAGCCAACAGAACTCATTAAGGCATAGCCAACCTGCCTTGCAGCTCACGAGAGTATATGCATCTTCACTTAGAGAGGGTATATATATTGGTACTCTCCTCTAGTTTATTAATGGTTTGTTCTTCCCAGGATCTAATTCACGGGATCTCCGATCACATAGACTGGGTTACCACCATAGTATAACTCACATGGGTCTCAAACCCATCTCCTTCGATGCATTGTCTATCACATTTCGTGATAGTCCCTTCGTGAAGGGATCTGCCAGGTTTCTCGCTGTTTGGATGTAATCCAACGTTATAACTCCGGAGTTTCTTAATTTCCTGACAGACTTCAATCGTCTTTTCACATGTCTAGACGATTTCATATTATCCTTAGAACTATTCACTTTGACAATTACCGTTTGATTGTCACAGTTCATAAGGATAGCCGGCACCGGTTTTTCAACAACAGGCAGATCCATTAATAGATCACGCAACCATTCTGCCTCAACAGTAGCAGTATCCAGTGCCGTTAGCTCTGCTTCCATGGTTGACCTCGTCAAAATTGTCTGTTTGCAAGACCTCCATGAAACAGCACCACCACCCAGTGTGAAAACATATCCACTAGTGGCTTTGATCTCATCCACATCAGAGATCCAGTTAGAATCACTATAACCCTCCAGTACCGCAGGATACCCAGTATAGTGAAGCCCCAATTCCACAGTACCTTTCAGATAGCGCATTACTCGCTCAAGCGCACGCCAGTGATCATCTCCCGGATTAGAGGTAAATCGGCTCAACTTGCTCACAGCAAAGGAGATATCAGGCCTAGTTGCACTAGCCAGGTACATCAACGAGCCAATGATTTGGGAGTATTCCAGTTGATTCCTAGCAATTCTCTTGTTCTTGCGAAGCGACAAGCTAGAATCATAAGGTGTTGGAGAAGGCTTACTATCAATGTAGCCAAAGCGATTCAAGATCTTCTCCACATAATGAGACTGCAAGAGTGTAATCCCATTCTCACCTCTAATTAGCTTAATGTTTAAAATAACATCAGCTACTCCCAAATCTTTCATATCAAAATTTTGAGACAAGAATGATTTAACCTCATTTATCACCTCAATGTTTGTCCCAAATATCAGTATGTCGTCAACATACAAGCACAAAATAACTCCCTCACCCCCACCATTGCGATAGTACACACATTTATCTGCCTCATTGACTGCAAAGCCTGCAGATGTCAATGTTTTGTCAAATTTCTCATGCCATTGCTTAGGAGCTTGTTTCAGACCATACAAAGACTTCAACAATTTGCACACTTTGCCTTCTTGACCTTCAAGTACAAACCCATCAGGTTGATCCATATAGATCTCCTCATCCAGCTCTCCATTAAGAAAAGCTGTCTTAACGTCCATTTGATGAACGAGAAGACCATGTGAGGCTGCTAGGGAAAGTAGCACACGAATTGTGGTCAATCTAGCAACAGGTGAGTAAGTGTCAAAGAAATCTTCGCCTTCTTTCTGAGTATAGCCCTTAGCAACAAGCCGAGCCTTGTACTTTTCAATAGTACCGTCAGGCCTAAGCTTCTTCTTGAACACCCACTTGCACCCCACAGGTTTACACCCATAGGGTCGCTCTGTCACCTCCCAAGTCCCGTTAGCGATAATGGAATCCATTTCACTACGGACAGCCTCCTTCCAGTAGTCTGCATCAGGAGATGCATATGCTTCTGAAATTGACTTAGGAGTGTCATCCACGAGGTACACAGTGAAATCATCACCAAAAGACTTAGCCGTCCTTTGTCTCTTACTCCTTCGAGGAGCTTCACTGACATCCTCCTCAGAGACAAGTTCATGTGTATGTTCAGTTTGTTCTGGTGGTGTGATTGAACTGGGAATTATTTCAGAGGGTTGGTTCGAACCACTATGTGTATCCTTCATTGGGAAAAAGCTCTCAAAGAAGGTAGCATCACGAGACTCCATAATTGTACCAACATGCATGTCCGGTACCTCGGATTTAACTATTAAAAATCTATAGGCAATGCTATGATGAGCATATCCCAGAAAAACACAGTCCACAGTCTTAGGTCCAAGTTTGCGCTTCTTCGTTATTGGTACATTGACTTTCGCCAAGCACCCCCATGTGCGCAAATAAGAAAGTGATGGTTTTCTACCAATCCATATCTCATATGGTGTTTTGTCCTTATTTCTGTTAGGAACTCTGTTTAACACATGATTTGAGGTCAACAATGCCTCCCCCCACCATGCCTTAGGCAGTCCCGCGGTGTCCAACATGGCATTCACCAAGTCAGTCAGTGTGCGGTTCTTCCTTTCAGCAATCCCATTAGACTCGGGAGAATAGGGAGGCGTCCTCTCATGTATGATGCCATGTTCCTCACAGAATAAGTCAAACTCGTTCGAGAAAAACTCTCCACCACGATCAGACCTAAGCCTTTTTATCTTTCTGTCAAGTTGATTTTCAACCTCTGCCTTATAAATTTTAAAATAGTCTAGAGCCTCGTCTTTCGTTTTCAACAAGTACACATAGCAAAATCTAGTAGCATCATCAATCAATGTCATGAAATATCGTTTTCCACCCTTCGTCAACACCCCATTCATTTCACAAAGATCTGAATGTAGGAGTTCTAGTGGTGCCAAGTTTCTCTCCTCGGCAGCCTTGTGAGGCTTGCGAGGTTGCTTCGATTGCACACAACTATGGCACTTAGAACCTTTGACAATGGAAAACTTAGGAATTAAACACATGCTGGAAAGCCGAGACATCAAGCCAAAATTAATATGACATAAACGTGAATGCCAAACATTAGCCTCATCATCCACACTGCCACAAATATGGTTCACAGACTTATTGCAGAAATCAGAAAGGGAAAAGCGGAACAGGCCTCCGCACTCATAACCTTTACCAATAAAATATCCATGTTTAGACACGACTACTTTATTAGACTCAAAAACCAACTTAAATCCGTCTCTAGTCAGACGGGAGCCACTAACAAGATTCCTGTCGATAGAAGGGACATGCTGCACGTTCTTCAGCTGCACGATCTTTCCCGAAGTAAACTTCAGATCTACCGTGCCAACACCATGAACAGAAGCATGTGACCCATTCCCCATTAGGACGGTGGAACCCCGTGCGACCTGATAAGAAGAAAACAATAAGATGTCAGCACAAACATGTACATTGGCCCCAGTATCAACCCACCAATTAGTAGATTGATTAACTGAAAAAACAGTAGGTAAATTACCATACCCGCTTCCATCTCCAGTGTTGCCAATGGTCACATTAGCAGACTTAGAAGTCTGCCCTGCAGGTGCCTTCATCCCCTTGCGTTGTGGACACTTCCTAGCCAGATGACCAACTTGGCCACACACAAAGCAAGTCCTCTCATCCTGATTAGGATTGTTGTTGTTCTTCTTCTGCTTCTTGAAGTTGGTGGTCTGCTGAGCTTTGTATTTCCCCTTGCTCTTGTTCTGGGCCTTGTGCACAACATTGGCACTGGACTGCCCACCATCGCCCTTAGACGCGGCATCTTTTTCCCGAGCTTTCTCCTCAACATCAAGAGACGCAATCAACCCCTCAACGGAGTATTCCTGTCTCTTGTGTTTGAGTGCAGTACCGAAACTCCTCCAAGATGGAGGTAGTTTTGCAATAATGCACCCGGCCACAAATTTGTCGGGTAAGACACACTTAAGGAGTTCGAGTTCCTTAGCCATGGTTTGTATCTCATGAGCCTGTTCGACTACAGAACGGTTGTCAGCCATTTTGTAGTCATGAAACTGCTCCATGATATACAGATCATTGCTAGCATCAGTAGCACCGAATTTAGTATTCAGTGCATCCCACAACTCCTTAGCGTCGGTCATATGCATATACACCTCGACCAGACGATCGCCAAGAACGCTAAGAATGCATCCCACAAAGAGAGTAGTGGCTTCCTCGAATTGCTTCTGCTGTTCAGCAGTAAGAACTCCTTCAGGTTTGCCAGTACTCACCCAGAAGCATTTCATAGCTGTCAGCCACAGAGTGACCCTGATCTGCCATCTCTTAAAATGCACACCGGTGAATTTATCCGGCCTCAGTGCATCGGCAAAACCAGCCATAGTAAAATCACAGTGCCTATAATAAGGTTTTTGGATTGTTGAGATTATGGGCATATAATGATTTAATTTATTCCATAAATAAGTCATGACATTACAGATGAAAACTAGCATGAACGCATCATTAGATCTACACATGTAAACTACGCAGAATAACATGAACAGATCAAATATGCGCAACATATTGAACACGTACCGAGGTGACGAAAAGACCGGCTGCTTGGTCGAAACTTTTCGCAGGTGTCTACGAAGGCACGAAACACGCGAGCGAAGAGGAAGGCGAGCCGTCGCGAACGAACAGGGAGCAGTCGCGCGAAGCGCTTCCCAAAAACCTTATTGCCGCCTTCTCCCGGTGCAGGACGTCAAAGGCAGAGGTTCCGGAGACCTGCTCTCCCGATCGCTGGTGCACGCCGGCGAGCGGGATGGAGTAGTCTACGAGCGACGGCGCAGTACAGAGTAGGAGGCAAACCCTAGATTGATTTTCGCATTTATCGCGTGAAGACGGCGGGTCGGTTTATATAGAGAAAGGTCGCTTGATCAGGGCGCCCGCACGATCTCTACTGCGCGTAACCGAACCGGATAAGTCGCGCGTAACTTATCCGGACTCCACGCCGTTTGCACGCATCGGATTTTTCGGAACGTTTCCAAAACAAAAACGAATCCGAATTTGCAGCAAAACAAAACTGCAAAAAGAGGCTGCATCTGCGCAAGGGTGAGGAGCCAATTTTTCGGACCATTCGACGCGTACGTCGTGCACGCGCGCCGCCTGCCCAGGCCAGGCCAGGCCAGGCCAGGCGAGGCGAGGCGAGCGAGCGCGCGCGTGTGTTTCCCCTCTTCTCTCCACCACACATGCTTCAAGTGGCTAGGAGGGCATCCTCCCTTTTAAGGAGGTCCCCCTCTCCTAGAATAAGCAAGGTGGTACTAAACTCCACATGCATGCCATCCCATGAGGTGGGCTTTTGTGATTTTCCAAAGAATTAATCTTCGAGTGGGCTAAGACCCATTCATTAATTCCAACACCCACTGCCTATCAAACCAAATATACACTACACGAGAGCTCGATGTACGTATACATAAACCATTCAAAATTTCATTGCGTATCGATTTGTTAAGTTGTTTATTAATTTCATATATTGATATGTCATTATTTTTCGAATGATAGCGTATTCACATGAGGGAAAAACTCCCACATAAGGATTTTATCACGACTGTTCAAGAACAACTGATGGGGTTCATCAACGAAGAAGTCCTTAATCCCGATGGTGAATTCTACTACGACGGATCGACAATTCGTAACGTCGGTCCTTCCTCTTCTGACGTAACGCAGGCGTCGAAGTCATAGCTATAGCTAGCGAGCAAATGAATTGTACTATACATGCATGTATATATATATATATATTTATATATGTACGTACATTTACTTTAGAGTTAATATATATTTTGGTAACATATATGTACATAAAATGTTAAGTGCTTTAAATTATAAATATGTGTGTAATATATGTATTTATACATATATACATACGCATATATATATATATATATATATATATATATATATATATATATATAATCAACCATGCAGCAAACAGGGCCATGCAAATAAAAAAAATGGTACATAGATCTTTAGTCCCGGTTCGTGTTACCAACCGGGACTAAAAATCGATCTTTAGTCCCGGATTCGTAGTCCCGGTTGGACAACCGGGACTAAGGGGGGTTACGAACCGGAATTACAAACGATTTCTCCACCAGTGGGAGGTAGTATGTTTGTAAGTAAACATGCAGTTAGAGTTACCTTGGTCGCAGTCACCGTCGAGGTAGGGATTGCTATTAGTATATTTGATGCATGCACAACGGTAGCCTCCATTTTCGTCATCCGCATCCAAACATTTGTTATCACCACAAGCATACCGCTCAGGATCCTTCTGCGCTATTGTACAGTTTGGTTGGTCTGCGATAAAGGTTGATAGGTACGCCGAAGTAGATGCAACAGTGGTTTCATTTATCTCATCGGAGAGGAGATCTCCTATTGTAAAATTGTAATGGTAGGTCGTACTCTCTTCTGATAAGAAAACCTTGATAGTACTAGCATTAGCAACTTGGAAAGGCTGCGTTGCTTCTCTCTGAGTGATGGAAACTCTGAAAGCCCGGACAGGTCTCCGGAAGGTGACGACGCAGCAGCCCATGCCACTGCAAGCTTTCCCCTCTGCTTCCTTGTGCATCATCGCCATGTCAGTACACATGCTGAAGCAATAGCCCAGCATATCTTCCGTATCAGGGTCGACCAAGTAGACCTCAATTCCGCAACCGACAGCCACCAAAGCATAATAATCCGGCCCGATGCTAAGGATTCTCCCTGGGGACTCCCATGTCCTGTTGTAGGTGCCGAGCACACCCGGTGTGGTGGCTATGTTGAAAGAAACATAGGCTTGAACATACCCATCTCTATATTGATCCACGATCTTGGTGGTGGTGGTGTTAGTGTTGGTGGCAACACCCAATAAGAGGAGCTTTGGGGGTTTGGTGGAATGGTCGCAAGTGAGCTCGAAGCCGGGGCGGAAACAGCCGGCCCCAACGCCGTAAGGATAGGAGATGTTGGCGCCCCCGCAGGATTTGAGGCAGTGAGCAAGCTTGGCGGCCGTGGGAGGCGCTCCTGATGCAGCCTGCATCTGCATGGCGGCCGCGATGACCAGACACATGAGAACGAGGAGGCGCATGGCGAATAGCAGGGTATCAGCAGCTGCACTCATCCACAGCCCTACACAGTGCAGACCAAGAGATATTTCTTTACTGCTCCGGGGTGAACTTTCAGCCTTGTATATATGCCAATTTTACGGATGACTCTCCTCCATATCGGAGGCCCAAAGTTTAGTCAAGTCAAGCCGACGTGACTGGGGCGGCAATCATCTCAGTACTGTCTCAATCTAATTAATGTGCAGACTTGGACGCTGCGATATCACCACATAATCGAATGATTTTGATTTTTCAAGTTGAAACTGTTTGCAGTTCTGGAAGAGATTATTCTCTACCTTTAGAAATTTCTAGTAATACAAAACTTGCGCCCATGCTAATTATCCATAGACATACGTACGAAAAGATAGAAACTATTTCGATTGCAATATCGTTAATTACTAGCCGTGCTAACTCCGGCAAGTCTATTAATTATCTTCCCCTGCCCAATCACGTTAAAGCCTGTCAGGGAAAGCTAGACAGCAAGTCTATACGATGCAATGCAAGCTAGGCAGCGGGATGGAAAGATTTCCACGAGTCCAATTCAAAAGAGAGAAAACGTACGTATAGGTGGTTCGTTCTGTTCTCTAATTTGAAGTTAAGCTAGGTCCACGAAGCCACACGAGATGTACGATTCGCATCGAAACATCTACAGTAAACACTTAGATATCGCAGTCAACTTTTTCAATCGTAGGATCGGTCATAATTCACGTAGCAGAACGTCGGATGATGGAGAAGGTACGTGGCAGCTACATTAATACATATATAATATTTTTTAAAAAGAATCAAATCTTAAATTTGAATTTGTACATTCGTAATGTCCATATTTAAGATTAAATTTTCTTTAACAAAGGGAACTACAGAAATCGACATCGGTGCTGGTTGGGAACCCCGCATAAGTATCGGATTTCCCAACCAACACCTAACAGGCGGCACTTATGTGAAGGAAAATAGGTATCAGTTTAGGAATCGGCACCTTTGAGGTTCAATGAAAAGCTAGCTCGATGCATCGGGCTCGAGAGCATCCACCCCACGTCTACCCCGAACAAACTCCCAAATCGAGCGCATACTAACAACGAACTCCTAAATCAACATCGCTGAACAATGAATCCACAACCAAATCGACATCATAGAACAATGAATTCACAACCAAATTGACATCACATAACAACGAATTCACAACCAAGAACAAGGCCGATGTAAAAGGATTGAAAGCTAACGCCACCGATGCTCACTATCACCATCAGCCAGATCCGCTGTGAGAGAAGCCGACGCTTCCGCACATCCGCCACCGCCGCCTCCTGATCCACCTGCGGGAGCAGCAATCTCCGCCACCACTGGTCATTGAATCCACCCACGGGAGAAGCCGGGCCGCCGCCACCCGTCGTCGCGCAAGCGGGAGAAGGCCGACGCCACCGTTGCTCAGCATCGCGGGAGAAGCCGCCGCCACTGGATCTGCCGCGGGAGAAGCCACTACCCGTCGTCACGCATGCGGGAGAAGCCACTGTCACTCGTCGTCGCTCACTCGGGAGAAGCCTCCGCCGCTCGTCGTCGCGCACGTGGGAGAAGCTGCCACTGCCTGTTGTCGCCACCACCGCCCAGAGAGGAGTGCAGATGTGATGGACGGAGAGGAGGAGGGGGAAGGGCGTGGGGGAATGGAGTGGAGCGGAGGGGAGGCGGGCCGATGAGGCGAGGTGGGGAGTGCGAAGAGGACGAGGAGAAGAGGAGGTAGGGGTGAGAGTGTTGCTGATAAGGCTGGGTGGCGAGAGTGGTGTGGATAAGATCGAGCCGAGCGGCTCGGCTTGGTTTATGTTGGTGCCGGTTTTTAAAAAAAACTGACATCTACGATACTATAGGTGTCGGTTTTAAATTAACCGACACCTATAATATATATATTTTTTGCGGAGACATCTATAATATATTAATAGGTACCGGTTCTTATAGAAAACCGACACATATAGTATTGGTTTTTTTAATAGATCCGACACATATAGTTGCTGAAAGGTCCCGCTTCCATATTTTCTCACACCGTAGAGGTGGGAAAAGTACTATATGTATCGGTTGTAGCTATTCCAACACCTATAGTACCGATCTCTATGTGTTTTTTAAGTAGCGGGAGTACTACGGAACAATTAATTATTTAGTTAATGGGCATGGTTGTTCAAGGTCATCGCTGAAGATCAGCACGAAATTTACTCCTAGCATCTATGCCAATGTCCAAGTAAATTGATATTCTCTCTCAAACTCAAAGTGTAGCTTAGCTCCCATTACTACGCAACACCATATCAATGCCGGTTTATGAAGGTCATCAATGCTAGCTTTTGAACATGACCTTTTGCACCACAGGTGAGGAAAAGCTATCAGCGTCGGTTCCAAAACCAACACTGATGGGTTTTCATCAGTAAGAAAAACAGCACCGAGGATTTTTGTGATAGAGGTAGTTTTAGAAAGAGTGATAATGCAATAGGTCTAAGTGTAGTGGCTTTTCTTTTTAATCTATATATTAGTGAATATGTTGCATTATAAATCATATGAAATTATGAATCTTGATTGTTTACTTGAGCTTAATTGCCATATCTTTGGTTCTTACTTATACTAAATGCATGCTTGTTAATTAAATGATGAATTTATTTCATTTGTTTTGCAACACATGTCCTTGAATTGCCATATAAATATTTCAAATCTCTATGAAATAAAAAGCTGAATTACAAAACTAAGAAGAAGAAGAGATACAAAATGTGCATGTTTTCAAGTGAAAGGGAAATTTCTCTCTTTTAGAAAGAGGGAGAAATTTTCTTTTGAATTTTTAAGCACTCCGATGTTTTTTACCACTTCTTGATTTTTATTTTTTTAAAACACCAAAACAATAACATTTTGATGGGTTTACTAATGTGTTTATGAAGGGGGAGATTGTGAAATCAAATTAGTGTTTTGATTATTCATTTATGATAGATAATTGGCATGTGATCGATAATTGATTTTGATATTTGGTGATTATTGGTGAAGTGGTCCTCTCTACGTGGAGCCGGTCGGACCTCATAGGTAAGGCCGGTCGGACCAGTGTGGTATGTGCGATCAGACCAGTCAACCCGACGGTCTGACCAACTGGATTCTGATTAGGGTCGATTTTTGGTTGTTTATTTGATACTTATGATTATCTTGTGGTTATGATTTCTAGATGATTTTTATACGTGTGTAATACTATTGTCTGCTAATGTTGAGTCAAATTGGGAAAGAATTTGTGCTCGGATATAGTTTCTTGTTTGAGTCATGTGTAGATGTGCCTTGATGTCTCAGGAGGACATTGCCGGGATGGATCGGGAGTCAACTTGGCAGAAGATGACACTTGAATGTTTGGGATATCATGCTGATGGAACGTTTGGGACACCAACCTCCCTCCCTGACCATGCTCTGGCCACTACAGCAATGAGAGCAGAGGTCGTCCAGGCCTCCAAGATCCTTTTTCTCCTCGATTTCATCTCCAGCTGCAAAGAAGATGCTATCTCCAATCGTCACAAGGTCGTCTTCCAAATATCTCTCACGTTCCATTCTGTGATGCACAGCATGCCTAAAAACATTGATTTAGTCTTTCCTCCGTTTTCACCCGTCGATCAACTGAAGTCTGGAACGCGACCACGCCACCGGAGGTCTCTTCGGTGCTCCGGTCCCTCCGGAGGCTGTTGATGGCGTCGTCTGGCTGCCATGTTCCCGTTACCTCGGTTGCGTTGATTCTGGCCGAATCGCTGCCGTGTCCCCTAATCACGTACTTGTGCATGCATATGCCAGATCGAGCGGTCATCGCCGCCATGGAGTCCCCTCAAGCCGACGGACCATTTTCCACGCCGCCACCGCCAGCCGGACTTTGCTGGGCTTCGTGCCAGGTGAGCACCGGGAAAAGTACACCGAAGGTTCCTCAACTTGTCATCGAGTTACAAAATCATCCCCCAACCGCAAAACCAGATACCGGAGGTCCCTCAACTAACAAAACCGTTCGCTTGAGGTCCTCTGATGGTTTTGAGCCCGGTTTTGTCTGACATGGCGGGTGAGAGCGTGGGCCCCACCTGTCACTACGCCAACTCATCTCTCTCCCCCTCTTCTCTTCCTCATCTCTCTCTCACTTCTCTCCAATTCGATGGAGACGCGGGCAACGCGGCTGTGGTGACGGCGACGACAGGCGACGCGGCGGCGGTGGGGGGAGGAGCTGCGAGCAGGCAGCGGAGGAGGGGCGACGGGGGAGGAGCAGCGTGCGGGCTCCCCCACTGGCCGCCACCCACAAGGCCCACGAGGCGGCGGCGGGGGGAGGAGCTACGGGCAGGCGGCAGCGCGCGGCAGGCGGACCGGGCGGCGGCGGGCGGAGCGACGGCAGATGCACCCGCCGCACAGTCCTGCCGGAGGACCGGGCGACAACGTGGGGAGCAGCCGGCCGGCAGAGCAGACGGGAAGCGGGCAAGCACGTTGCGGAAGAGGAAGATGGCGCCGACGGGGAGCGGGATGGGGAGTGCGAGGACGCCGCCGCCGTCGTCGTCCATGGCCGTAGATCTCGCGCCAGCGCCCTCAACGGTGTGGCCGGCGGGAGTGTGTGAGCGTTTCCCCTCTTCTCCCTTTCTCTCTCTCTATCTGTTTTCTCAGGACGGCGACGGGCGACGCTGTGGGGAGGAGGGCCGGCAGGCCGGTGCGCGTGGCCGAGGGCGGCGTCGTCACCGAGCTCGACCGGCCATCCCCATTTTCTCGCCAAGGAACACGCAAGAGGGGCGGTCGCCGTTGTCGGTGAGCTCCCAGGAGCTTGGGGAGTCTGACGGTGGTGGCTTGCCTCAACCTCCCAACGAGCTAGGGGACATCGCGATGGCACGACCCGCGGCTCTTCCGCTGGTTGGAATCGAAGCTGAAGCATGCGCAATCGCCGGAAGGGACCGCTTCCACATCAGTGTCGGTGTCCAGTGGCCGTGGTGATGACGGCGGCGGGCAACGTCAGCGCCCACATAGGAGGAGCTGGCTGCTCTGGTGGCAGAGAGTGCGAGGAACCGCCGCCCGCGCGCCGCTCCTCCCCGCCCACCCCACGCAGCTCCTTCCA